TTTGAGCAAGCGTGGTGTAGAAACTGCCGACTGCCTGCTGGTGCGTGCAGGTGCCGGAGGACGATGTGGTGTTGGCGCTGGCGGATGTACCGGTGCTGAAGAACGTGGTGGGCGCCTAGCCGGGGGCCTCTGCAGATGAGGCCCCTCTATCTTTCCAGCCCGCTGGATGCCGGATGCTCTGCTCAGGCAGAGCAGGGCTTGCCGCCACCAAGCGGCAGCAGGCGTCGCCGCCAGGCAGCCACCAGCGCCGGGGTGGGCCGCCGCATCACTGGCTGGCAGCGCGCCGGAGCGGTGGGCAGGTAGCCCCCCCCCCCCCCCCCCCCCCGTGCAGGCGCCCACTTCCACCTCCCCCACCTGGACGAGCGTGTGCTAGAGGTGGCCAGTACCGGCGTGATCAAGCCTGACAGCTGGGCCTGCATCAGGGTGAGGCCGCGCCGCCGGCCGGCACGCGCCCGCCGCCGCCCGAGGCGACTGCCCCGGCGCGCGGCCCAGGCTGCGGCCTAGGGCGGCGCCTGCGTGGGAGCAGGCAGCGGCTTTGGGGCAGCGGCACGGCCTGCGGAGGCAGTGCTGCATGCTCGCGTGTGTCGCCTCCCGCCTGCCTGCCATACTGACGCCCCGCCCGCCCGCCTGCTGCTTTCTGCGCCACAGGGCGAGGGCATGCCCATCCACGGCCGGCCGTTTGATAAGGGCAACCTCTACGTCCACTTCACAGGTGGGTGTGCGGGGTGGCAGTCGCAGGGGGCGAGCCTGGCTGTGTGGGTAACCAACAGGGGTGGGCACGTGCGCCTCTCTTCTGCTTCCGCCCAGCCTCCGCCCAGCTCGCCCCAGGCGCTCCTGGCCGCCTGCTGCCTCGCCGTGCCGCACCCCCGTCTGCCTGCCCAAACTCCTGCCTGCCCGCTCCTGCCTGCCCTGAGTCCTGCCTGCCCTGAGTCCTGCGTGCCTGCTCCTGCCTGCCCCGACTCCTGCCTGCCCTGGCTCCTGCCTGCAGTTGAGTTCCCCGATGAGGTGACCCCCAAGCAGGCAGCAGCGCTCAAGGCAGCATTCGGCGGGCCCACGCCCAACGGCGCGGCGCCGATGGCAGAGGTGCGGCGCGGCCCGGCTGCCCTGCCCCCACGGCTGCGCCCGCCTGCCTGCCTGCCTGCCTGGCCGGCAAGCACGCGGTCCTGCTGCTGCAGAGCTCTGCTGCCCATGGCTCTGACGTGTTTGGTTGCTGCGCCTTGCCTGGTGTGGCGTCTGCAGGTGGAGGAGGTGCGGCTGCTGCCTGTGACCGACATAGAGCAGGAGATCAAGGCACGGAGGGAGCACGAGCGCCGCACCGGTGAGCACCCCGCCGCCTGCCTGCCTCCCTGCCTTCCTTCCTGCCTGTCTGCCTGCCTGCCCTGCTGCCGCATCCGCGGCACCAGGCACGCACCCAGGCACCTTCCTCAGCACCTTCTGCCGCGCCTCTGCTACCTGTGCTGTGCTGTGCTGCTCGGCCGGGGGCACAGGCCGGCAGAGCACGGCCCAGCCTGTGCGGTCTTCCTGCGCCCGCCCTCACCTCTGCCGCCGCCTGCCGCTTCCACTTCACGCAGGCGCGGAAACGTACGACAGCGACAGTGATGACGAGATGCGGGGCGGTCAGCAGCGCGTGTCGTGCGCGCAGCAGTGAGCGGCCACCTCGTGGCAGGCAGCTTGCACCAGCCCTGCCCCTTCACCCCAGCCTCTACCAGCCATAGGCTGGGAGGCCCCTGTTCTTGCGAAGAGAATTACCTACCGGCCGTGCTGCGGGCAGCGCCCATGCTCAGGCGCCCGCCAGCCGCACAGCGCCCGCCTGCCAGCACTTGCTGCGCGCCCCGCGGGCGTGCCACGCATCGTCGTCGCCGCCCTGCGGCGGGCGAGTACTTTGGTCGGGGCCACGCATCGTCGTCGGCCCCCCGCCCCAATTCAACCAGTACCGCGCATACCGCGCCCAACCTTTCATTCCTTTTGCTTCTGCCTGCTCTGTCCGCTGTTCCAGGCAACCTCCTCCCCTGCTGCTCTTGTTGTGCCCGCTGAGAACACCCCCCTCTGGTCTCACCCGCACCACCACCACTCTCCCCTCCACTCCCTCCCCTCCTGGGTGCTTTGCACCATGTGGCTTCCCTGTTAGCTGCTCGCCCCCCACCTGCCCTCTAGCTATCACCGCCCCTCACCCGGTACGCTACACCTCTCGCGCGCCTGAAGGCCGCTTCTGGTGTGGAACCTTTCACCGCCCGCCTGCCTGGTACGACACCACCCCGCAGCATCTTGCTGGCACCGTGGGCCGGAGGCCATCAGCTCGGCTCCGCCACCCGCCCTCTGCCAGCCCTCAGCAATGCGCCTTACACGAATACACGGGACCAACACGCAGAATGAAATCCGGCACGCCGTGGAATGGGGCACTACTGCCAGGCAAAACTGGGGGGCTGCGGCGGGGCACATCCACAAAGAAATAAAATGCAGAGATGATCGGGGAGTGGCGGTAGGAGCGGGACGCTGGGTGTGCGCAAGGCAAGGGGAAAAGCACGCAACCGAGGGGGGGGCGTTGGGCGGCGTGCGGGGACAGAGCAGGAGTGGCAGAGAAGCGATTCGGTGCATTGGGGTGTGTGGGGAGAGCGGCGGCTAGAGGGGCGGCCTCCTGGCAGCTGGCGGGGAGCTCCTCTCGGGGCGCTGCCCGCCTGGCTCCAGGCCGGCCGCCGGTCTGCTGGTCGGCCGCTCAGAAGGGCCAGTTGCTGCCGCCGGCGGTGGCAGACACGAGCTCCTTGGCCGGGGCGGCCGCCTTGGCGGGGCCGGCCTCGTTCAGAGCGGCCACACCTGCAGGTGGCAGGCCGGGGCGGGGCGACCACACGCATCCAGCTTAGGCCTCGTTGAGGGCAGCCACACCTGCTGGGAGGGCGGCGGCGCAGCGGGAGGGGGTGTGGGGGGGTTGGGCAGCATGCTCGCCGTCGCCGTCCCAAGAGCTCCAGGTTGTTCCAAACCATGGCCAGCAGGTACACAGCACACGGCAGCACTGCCAGCCACCAGCAGCACCAGCAGCGGCACCAGCAGCACCAGCAGCACCAGCAGCACCAGCAGGAGGAAGACAGCTAGACAGCAGGCAGGCAGAAAGCAGGGAAAGAAGCAGAGAAGGAGGCAGAAAGCAGGGAAAAGCAGGGAAAGGAGGTGGGGAGGGCTCACCGGGGAGGACCTTGCCCTCCAGCAGCTCCAGGCTGGCGCCGCCGCCGGTGGAGATGTGGCTCATCTTCTCCGCCACGCCCGCCTTCTCCACCGCCGCCACCGAGTCGCCGCCGCCGATGATGGTGATGCAGTCGTCCATGGCAGCCAGCTCGTTGGCGATGGCAAAGGTGCCCTTGGCAAAGGCGTCTGCGGCGGGGGGGGGGTGCAGGAGCAGGGGGCTGGCAGGTGAGGGGTGAGCAGCGCGGGACACGGGGAGGAGAGCCTGCCGAGCAGCTTCGGGACCGGCCAGGCAGGCAGCGCTGCGTTCGGGCCGAGGGAGGCTTCAGCCTGTCTTGTTCTAATACAGCTGTTGTTGCCCGGCGCCGCTGCCAGGGCTGGCGGCGGGCCCGGCGGCCGGCAGGCGGCCCGCGCCACGCACCAAACTCAAACACGCCCATGGGGCCGTTCCAGATGACGGTCTTCGCGCCCTTGAGGGTGTCCTTGAGCAGGTCGATGGACTTGGGGCCGATGTCCAGACCCTGGGAGGAAAGCACGGGAAGAAAGCACAGGAGGAAAGCACGGGGACGGGTTCAGCGGTCGGAGCAGCGAGCAGAGGAGGGGCAGGGTGAAGAGGGGCAGGGTGACGAGGCCGCGACCCGCCTCCCTCCCTCCCTTCCTCGCGCCCTGGCTCTCCCGCTGCCCCATCTGCCGCCACCACCCCACCCGCCGCCGCCCGCCCACTCACCATCCAGCCGTCGGGGATGGCGGTGACGTCGACCACCTGGGTGGCGGCGTCGGGCGCAAACTTGTCGGCCACAATCACGTCGGTGGGCAGCACAAACTCCACGCCCTTGGCCTGCGGCAGCACAGAGGGTGGAGTAGGCGGGGTTTGTGGCTGCGGAAGCGTGTGGGCGGGCTGGGCGGGGATGCGCGATCGGCCAGCGAAACCGTCCAGCGTGGCGTGCTCGCGGTGACGCCGTCGGGCCTGCTAGCCTCCAGCCCCAAGAACCCCGCCGCCACCGCCGCCACTCCAGCACAGGGAGGTGAAGGGGAAAGGAGGAAAGGAGGGGGCCCCACCCACCTTGGCCTTCTCCATGAGCTCCAGCGCCAGCTCCAGCTTGTCCTCCTCCACCAGGCTGCCGCCCACCGCCAGGCCCTTGGCCTTGTAGAAGGTGAAGATCATGCCGCCGCTGCAGGGAGGAAAGCAGGCAGGCAGGCGGAGGGAGGGAGGGAGGCAGCAGGAGGTGTGTGTGCGTGAGTGCGTGGAGGCGAGGCGAGCCAGGGAGTGTGGTCGCGCTGGCGAGCGGTGGGAGGACCCTTTGGGGCTGCATGTCTGGTTCCGATGCAATGCCCCCACGCATCCGCGGGCCGCTCCGCCAGACAGCGGGCTGCCAAAACGCCGGCGGCAGGCGCCCGGCTCGCTGCTCACCCCAGGATGATCTTGTCGCACTTGGCCAGAAGCGACTCAATCACGCCGATCTTGGAGGAGACCTTGGAGCCGCCCACGATGGCCACAAAGGGGCGCTTGGGGGTGGTCACGGCGCCATCTGCGCGTGGCGCGGGCGGGCAGCGTCGGGGCCCAACCCCAGGGGAAAGAACCACCTGGCTCCCTCTCTTTGCCAGAGAGGTTCTGCAGCCCGCCGCAGCCACCCACCCACCCACCGCACATAAGGCCCCGCCCCGCTCGCCCAGGGAGTGCAGAGCGTGCGCATAGAAACACACACACACACACACACACACACACCACCACCACCGCCGCCAGCTCACCCAGGTAGTCCAGCTCCTTCTGCAGCAGGAAGCCGGCCACGGAGGGCGACAGGAACTTGGTGACGCCCTCGGTGGAGGCGTGGGCGCGGTGCGCGGTGCCAAAGGCGTCGTTGACGTACAAGTCGGCGGGCGCCGCCAGCTTCTTGGCGAACTCCGGGTCGTTCTTCTCCTCCTCGGGGTAGAAGCGCACGTTCTCCAGCAGCAGCACCTGCGGGTTGGGGGGCGGGGAGGCGTGCCGGGTGCAGGGGAGCGTCGGGCGGGAGGTGCAGGGAGGTGTCCCTCAGACCCTCGTCGAGCAGGAGGTGCAGGGAGGAGGCGTTCCTCAGAGGAGGAGGTGGGAGCGTCGAGAGGGAGGGGGCCTCTGGCTGACCGCAGGGCCTCGGGAGCTGTGGCGGGCCTGCCTGCCTGCCTGCCACGGAACGGGCCCACCCTGCCTGCGCCAAGCGCTTGCTGGCGCGCCCCCGACGCACCGCCCAGCCAAACTGACATCTGGATGCATCCACGCCCTGCCCCTGCCGTGCGCTGGCCCCCCGGGCCCTTCACTACCACCCTCTCACCGAGCCGTTGCTCATCTTGGCCAGCTTGCTGGTCACCGCCTCGCCGATGCAGTCCTCCGCCTTCTCCACCGCCGCGCCCATGAGCTCGCTCAGGCGGCCCACCACGGGGGTCAGCCGGAACTTGTCCTCGGGGCCCTTCTTGGGGCGGCCCAGGTGGCTGGTCAGCAGCACCTGCGGCGCGGCGGCGGCGGAGACGAGGCGCCGGGGTGAGCAGGCCGGCGCAGCGCAGACGCGGCAGGCGGCCCATGCCGCCCGCCTTGCCAGGCCCTGCTCCCTTGCGCCCGCAGCTGCGTCCCGCTGCCGGGCCCAGCCCGCCGTGCACAGCCACCATCAACAAGCGCAGCGCAGCACAGCAGCGCTGCGCTTGTTGATGTGCACAGCCAGCCATCGCACAGCCACCCCGCCAGCGGTAAGCACACCGTCCCACCCCGCTGGACCCGCTGCGAGCACAGCCCACCCTCACAACCAAAAACAACAAAACAAAACAAAGCAAAGCACAGCCCCATGCCCGCCCCCCCCCACCACCTTGGCGCCGTTGTCCACCAGATACTTGAGGGTGGGCACCGCGGCGCGGATGCGCGTGTCGTCCGTGATCTTGTCGCCGTCCAGCGGGACCTGCGGGAAGGGAGGGGAGGGTGGGAAGGGAGGGAGGGTGAGGGAGGGGGTGAGGGGATGAGAGGAGGGCAGGCTGGGATGCACGGGGGTGGGATGCAAGGAGCGGGAGCTGGCGTGTCGTGATGGCGGGGATGGAAAACAAAAGAGTTTCGCCGGGGGTGCCCATGGCAATGCTCGTCGCGTGCAACGCGCCCGCATGCGGAGGCTGATGCGGCGCGGCCATGCTGGGCTGTCGCCGGCGGGCGCGCGGGTGGCGGGCAAGCGCTGACGGTCCCGCCCCAGCAGCGCCTTGCGGGCGCCACCTGCTGCTGTGCTATGGAGGGGGCTCACGTTGAGGTCCGCGCGCACAAACACCACCTTGCCCTCCAGGTCAGCCTTGCTGAGGTCGCCCACTGCAGGCAGAGCGAGGTCGGCGGCGTCAGCCAGCTGCGGCAGAGCTGCGGCTGCCTCCAGGCCGCGCAGGCGGGGCTGACGCAGCGGCGGCGGGCTGCCGCCGGCACACGCAGCGAGGCGAGCGGGGCATCGGGCTGCAGGACTGGGGGCGGGCCGGGGCGATCTTGCCAGATCAGGGCCGCTCACCCGACTTCTTGGCCATGGTGGCCACGGTGCGGGAGGGGCGAGTGGCCTGCAGGCCAGCAAAGGGGACGGGGCTGGTCTACAAGTGGCACATCGATAGCCGATTGGCCGGAAATGTCGGCAGCAGGGGCAATGCGCCACCCTGCCAAAACCGCTGCCCTGCATCGGGCCCCAGCTCGATGTTTGCCCACCTTGACGGCAGACACGCGCTCCGCCACCTTGCCGCTGAAGGTGGACTCCTTCTTGGCCAGCCGGGGGGTGCCGGAAAGGGCAGCGCGGGGCGCAGAGGTGCGGCGGCCAGCCACACGGGCGGCGGCGATAGGAACGGCGGTGGCGGCGATGGTGGAGGCCATGGTGCTGCTGGTTTGCTTCCGATCCGCAATCAAAAGGCCGAGGGAGGCTCGGATGGCCGAGTACAGGGTGGGTTGGCGCCTTGGAAAGTGAACGTGATCCTGAGGCCCATGCAGCGACGCCCCGCCCTCATTTCATCAGCCCGCGCCGCCATTGGCTGCACACCATGCGAGGAAAGCGCGGTAGGGCTGATCGGGGAGCCGCCGCCCTGTCTCCCCCTTGCGCTGCCTCCTGCCGCCAACCTGCCGCCAGCCTGCCGCCGCCAGCCTCCCACTGCCGGGTGGGGGCTCGCATGGTGTAGGGCACTCACTTCCTTTTGGCCTCACGCCGCTCACACATCCAGGGTCTGGTTCCCTGCTGGCATGCAGCAATGCGCCGCATGCACGCGCTCCAGGCCACGCACAGAGCGGCTGCTCATGTGGTGCTCTGGCAAAGTGGGTTCTAGGCTGGAGAGACTAAACTCCCTGAGGCTCTTGAAGCCAGGCTCAGGCTCCACTGAAAGAGCATTCAATGCTAGAGGCACGCAGGGCAATGCAGATGACACAACTCAATTGCTTGTGCGTGGGCTGCCGTTGCCGTGTGTGCCGCCCTCCCTGCCGCACCGCTCGTGTCACTGTGCTGCTTGTTTTAACCCACCGGCTGGTCAATGTACCCCAATCAATATCAAGCTGCTGTATGTGGGCTCAGATGCTCAGCAGAGCCCGTGGCCCCCTAGATTGATGCGCCTGGCAGCAGCCCGGCGGCGACGAGGTACACCCCGCAGGTGTTTCATCCGCCGGCTGCCTCATCGACCGTCTCGGATCCCCATAAGCACGCAGAAGATCACGCAAACATCAGGGCACAATCATACAGCAGCAGGCCGCCCCAGCCCGCATTTGATCGCAAAGCTTGGGGCTGGAGCAGGCGATGGTGCTGGGCGGGGAGCTGGTAGCCGTGGGATGGCGCCAGCAGGCCATTGCTGCCGGGGCCGACCTGACAGGCGCAGTGCTGCTGCACCTGGTGGCAGGTGGGTGCGCCGCCCTCTCGTCCATCTGCCGCTCCGCGTTGCCCCGCCGCAGTCCCACCCTCATTCCTGGCCTGCAATCTTGCCGGTGCGACCCTGCTGCGCTCCCTCATGCCTGCAGGCCAGCTCCAGCAGAGCCGGGAGCGCGCCGCCGGCACCGCTACCGCCTACTTCTGTGCCTGCGCCGCCGCCCTGCTGGCCGGCTGCAGCGGCGTGGCAGCCTGCGCACAAAACCTGGCGCTGCTGGGCGCCCTGGCGGCAGCGCTGGCTCCCGGCGGCGTGCTCTTGTCGCCGGTGCTGCTGGCTGTCGGCAGCGCCGACTGGCTGCCAGGCGGCGTGCTGCTGGCGGTGAGTGTTGCAGCTGGCACCTGGGCACACACCCCTTGGCTGGAACTCTGCCCTGGAACAAACCATGGTACATTGCTGCTGGGTGGAGCACAATCATGCGAGCTGCCGCCTGTATGCAGGCGCCCATGGCCTTGCTGGCAGCTCGAGCTGCCGGCGGCAGCCGTGGCGGCAGCGGGGCGGGCAGCCGCGGTGGCTCCTTGCGCCTGATGATGAGGCCGCTCGCAGCGTACGTTGCCTGCTGGGCAGCCAGCGTGGCGGCCCTGCTGCAGCTGCAGAGCATGCTGGCTCCAGCCGCGGCAGCGCAGCTGGATCGCTGGCTGGGTCTGGCGGCCTGGCAGGCGGCCGTGCCGCAGCCAGCAGCGGGCAGCAGCGGCGCGGGTGCGCTGGATTGGGTTGGCACGCGGGCCAGCCAGCAGGCCTGGCACCAGCGCCCTGCGCGGCTCCTCCCCGCCGCCTCGCTGCAGCCCGGCCTGGGCCTGCACTGGTACCTGCTGGCACAAAGCTTCCCGCAGTTCAGGCAAGCAGGCTGCTGGCCGGAGGCAGCCGAGGAGGCACCTGGCCGGCATGCCAGGCGGGCCTTGCCGCTGTGCAAGCCAGCCGTGCTCTGCTGTTCCCAGCCAACCAAACTCCTGCTCCCACTCCCAACCAACCCGTGCCTGCAGGGCGTTCTTTCTTTACGTGCTGCAGGCGCTGCCCGCCGCCACCATGCTGCCGCTGGCCCTGCGCTTCCCGCACCGGCCGCAGCTGCTGGCGGCGGCGGGCGGCCTGCTGCGCTGCCTGCTGCACCCGCGCCCCGTGCCCAGCATGGCAGCTCTCAGCTTGGTGAGAGGCTGGCCTGCCGCCGACGCGGGGTCCTGAGCCGGCACTTGCATCCAGTGCAGAGGACAGCCTTGGTGCAAACCCCCACACCGTCGTGCTGCTGTGTGCTGCGCAGGGCCTGCTGCCGCTGGCGCACGAGCAGCTGGCGTGCGTGGGCGGCCTGGGCTGGCACGCGTTGGCGCAGGCGGCGGCGCTGCTCATGAGCGACTCTGCCGCGCAGGTGGGCCCCTGCTGCGCTGCCCGGCCTGCTCTGCTTTCTGCTGCGTGGAAGACAAGCCAGGGTGGTTCTTGGCAACACAGGTCTGTGCTGGACTGTGCTCTGCCCATGGTGAAGGCATGAAGCTTGTTGAAGCTTGTGCGGCGGCAGCACCCACCAACTGCTGCTGCCTTGCCGCACTCTGCCTGCAGCTCTGGCTGGGCGGCCGCGGCGGCAATGCCAACTTCCTGTACGGCATGAACCTGGTGTGGGGAGGGCTGCAGGTGCTGCTGCTGCTGCGCCTGCTGCGTGCGGCGGCGCGGGCGGAGGCCACGGCGGCGGTCGGCGGCGGCGTCGTGGAGGGGAGTGGCAGCGCCGGCAAGCAGCGGCAGGACTGATGGATGGGACGTGACTTTCCCTCCAGCCACCATGTCGTTGGTATGGCACTCTCAGTGTACTTAGTCATACTCATACTTCTCCTCATCATGCGAGAAGTGGAGACCAGTCGGCGCCCTGCTGGCGCCCGCCGCTTAGGCACACTGATGCGCGATGCACATAACCTCTGCATTCTGCCGTTTAATACACAGCTTGATTAACAGGAGGCGGCCCCTGCGTGCCTGCGGCACCACTCCGTCGCATCTGGGCATTCGAGGCAGGGTTGTCGTCTGCCGACAACCCCAGCATTGCGCTGGGCCATGTGGCCTCCCCTGGCCGCAAGCCCCTCCACCCAAGCAGCGCAAGTCGGTCAGTGCCCATCCAGCGCCCGTCGACTGGGTTCCAGCAGCGTGGCAAGCCTTGCCAAGCTTTTCGAGGGAGGTGGCAATGCACCTGCGACGCAGTGGAAGCAGCAGTGCCTGGCACCGGCAGCGCCGCCAGAGCAGAGCGGCAGCAATGGGTCGGCGCCAGCGGGTGACGAGCTAGCCTCCACGCCCAGCAGTGCCTCTCCAGCGCAGCCCCTGCTGAAGCGCCAGAGGCTTGGGAGCATGGATGCAGCCGAGGTGGTGCCAGCAGCAGGGGCTGGGGCACCGCAGGTGGAGCGCCAGCTGTGGGCACAGGAGCCGCCGCTGGCCTGCCAAGCCAGCAACGGCGAGGCAGGTGCTGCCAGGGAGGCCCGGCTTGAGAAGATCCGCGCCAGGCAAGCACCCTGCAGCGTCCCACTGCGTGCTGGAGTGCCACCAATCATGCAGGGCGTTGCTGGGGCAAGCCGCTGCTGCAGCTGCTGCAGCCCAGCACCCAGCACCCAGCACCCCACCACGGTGGCAAACCTGCAGGTTTGGCACCAAGCGCTTCCTGCCCGCCCGCCAGATGGAGCCAGAGGAGCTGCTGCAGCAGCTGGGCGCTGCCAAGACCGACCTGGCAGAAGACGACTGTGAGCGTTCTTGCTGCCGCCGCTTGCAATGCCTGCAACCACCTTGCGTCTGAAGATGCCTTCTTGAATGTGTTGCGTCCCTGCAGACAAGCTGCATCGCTGGGACGGCTTGCCGGTTGCCCTCGGCCAGACCAACAACGCACACTGCCTGAACTGGGTGCTGAGCGGCCAGGTGGGCGGGCTTGCGCCCAGCGCTGGCTTGCAGGGCAGGCTGGGAGCCTTGGCCTGCCTGTTGTGTGACAACCACGCGGCTCCCTCCTGTGCTGCCGCTGCCTCCCATGCTCGCCCTTCGCGCCCTTGCCGCCGCCGCCACCTGCCCTGCAGAGCGGCTGCGTGGGCCTGGCCTCCTCGCTCACCCACCTGTTTGTGCTGGGCGCTGGGCAGACAATCTACATAGAGGAGGCGGATGCGGTGCATGCGGCACGGGACGAGCTGGTGGGTGGCAGCCGCCTGCATCGAGCTGGTGGGTTGTGCTCGGGCAGCACCCCATGCCTGGCAGGCGCAGGAAAGCACCAAGGGAGGCTTATCATGATGCATCAGCAGCCCACGCCCTCCCAGCGCGCACCGCCCACCGCACCAAACCACCGACCCTGCCGTTGCCGCTGACGCTGCGGTGCAGGGTGTGTACATCAGGCTCGGCTCGGCGCCCGGCCAGGCCTCTGCGCTGACAGTTAAGGTGCCGGACAAGGATTCGGCGGCTGGCATGATTGCCACGCTGAATGGGCGGGCGGCCACGCGCGCCGCGCTGCGCGCACGGGCAGCTGCCATGCCCAGGGGACAGCTAGCCTCCACCTGAGGCCCAGCGTGCCTACCCCCTGACTGCACACAACTGTGGCGTGATTCTTTCCTCCTTCCAACTTCAGTACTGAGCTCCTGCAATTCTAACCATAGTCAGTGCCTGCTTTGTTACAACCAGGCGGAATGCAATAGGTTTCAGTGTAGGTGGTGTTTGACGTTAGAATCAATAGCAGGAGCAAGGAGCAGGCAGGCCCTGCTGCGCAAGAAACAGAGGCTGCAGAAGGCAGTGCGTGGGGACAGCACTGCAGGTGGTTCCAGCAAAGCGAGAAATGGGGGTGAGGGTGATGGCGGTGAGGGGCCCAGAGCAAGACACTAAGCGTCCAGATATCCGTAAAGGCCTGGGGGCTGAGGGGTGGGTGCGTGGGGGGAGGGCGGGCGCAGGGAAAATGGCGTGCCAGCGCGGCACCCGTGGGCGCCAGGCTCGCTTGGCACAGCCAGGGTGACGGAAGATAGATCTGAAAGGGAGTGCGGAGATGTGAGAAGACTTCTGCTAGGAGAGAAAGCAGGGCAGGCGTAAACATACATATAAGAAACCAACAAATACAGCTGACGGGTGCGTGCGCTCACAAGCCCAGCTTCTGGCGCATGTGCGGGCAGCCCGCTGCCGCGGCAGCTGCTGCCGATGGCGCCGCGCCGGTGCTGCCGCGCATGTGCGGGCAGCCGCCCGCTGCTGCTGCTGCCCCTGCTGCTGCCCCTGCTGCTGCCGCTGCCGCTGCCGCCTCCTCCTCGAGCTGGCGCATGTGGGGGCACTTGGCCGGCGCCTGCTTGGCCTCCTTGGCCTTCTGCGCTGCGGGGTCGAGCGGGAAGAGGACCCGCCGGGTGCTCTCCACCACCGCCAGCGCCTGCTCTATCAAGTGCTCCGGGGCGCCGGCGTCCCTCAGGGTGGTGGCAAACAGCACCTTGATGGCGTCAAAGTGCGTCTCGTTCAGCCCTGCACGCACAGCGAAACACAGAGGGACCAGAGCGTCAGGCGCCGATGCCATGCGTGCCGCGACGGCAAGGTGCGGCAGCGGGACACGCAGCAGCCTGCGCAGCCGGCAAAGAGGGGGAAGCAAACAAACGCGCGCCGGCCGCTCACCGTACTGCAGGATGAGGCGCTCGTGCGCGCTGTACAGCTGCGGCCACGGCTCCGGCGCCAGCTGCAGGTACTCGTCCGGGCCCCCCAGCGCGTACGTGACGAACAGCAGGAACTTGCGGCGGTGCTTGGCCATGTCCACGCCATCAAAGAAGCGCGCCATGGCTGGCTCCGACAGCACGCGGCGGTAGAAGTCGTCCACCACGCCCTTGACCGCCACGCCGCCGCCCAGCTGGTCGTACAGCGATGCCTCCGGCTCCTCCTGCGGCTCCTCCAGCGCCGACAGCATGGAGGAGGCGGTCTGCAGCGAGGAGTGGCGCGACATGGAGGCGTCGCCCGACTGCTCGCGCATCAGCAGCCCAAAATCGGCCGCCAGCTCGGCGGTCAGCGCGTTGGTCAGCTCCTCCTCCTCCTCCGTGCCGTCGGTGGTGCACAGGCTGTACTGAGCCATCAGGTCCATGTTGGCCGCCGTCTCCACCGAGACCCAGCTGAGAGCCTCGCTGGTGGCCCTGCGGAAGCTGCGGGCGGCGGCGGCGGCGGAGCAGGGGGGGTGTTAGACTCTGGGCCCGGCAGCGGCGGCGTGCGGCGGCCGTCGTGGTGTCTTGCGGCGGGCTGGGCGCGGCCACGGCGCTGCTGCGTGCCACTGCTGCAGGCCCTGCGCCTGTTGGCTGGGTGGGTGCTGTGCAAGGCGACCAGCCAGCAGCACAAGCCCGCCAGTCCGTACAAACGGGGAGGCGGAGCGTGCGGGCGGCCCGCGCCCACCCTGCGCCCGCCCGCGGCCGCCCCGGCCAAACCGCGTTCTCACCTTGCTGGTACAGAGGAGGCCAGCTGAAAGGCAGAGGCGGGGCCTGCTTGAGAGGTCATGTAATGCGTCTCGCGCCCTGCAGGCAAAGTGACGAGAGGGGGTCTGAGGCTCAGCTCTCCCACTGCAGGCGCCTGGACGGCGACAAGGGGCGCAGGGAGCCGCTGCTTGCCTGCTTGCAGGGCTGCCACTCCCAAAAAGGCTGGTCGGCGGCGGGTCGGAGCAGTGCACAGGTCGTCCGACGGCCGTCGAATGCGTCTAAATCAGCAATGCAGCGTGCGTAGAGGGAAGGGAAACAGGTGGCGGAGCCCCAGGCAGAGCGAAGCGAGTGCACCGGGGAGCGGGCGCGTATGCCAGACCGGTCACTTGTGTGGTAGGCTGCCTCAGACTGAGGCCGACAAGCAGGTAAATGCGATTACAGGCCAGGATTGGAGGGATATGGGACGGACGCGGCTCCAGCAAAGGCCGCCCAGAAGAGGAAAGGGCGACGGGGCACACATGGGGCGGCACAACCCCGCCGTCGCCTGTCCTGCCTGGGCTAAGGACCCCCTGTGCTGGCTGCACCCCCTTCAGCGGAGCTGCTACTCCACAGCGATTTCAGAGCCTGCTGACTGGGCTGCCTGCGCCAGGCCGACCTACTGGCCCCAAAGCCACCCCGCCGCTCGTCCTGGAGTGGGCGGTAGCCGCGGCAGCAGCTGTGCGCCCTATATGCCCCCTTTGCTTCGGCGGCAGGGCAAACTGCCCTGCCGCCCAGCTGAGCCCTCCAGATGTGCCACAGGAGCGGTCCGGGCCGCCAAAGTGAGGTGCCGCCGCTGCTGCCCGAGCCCCCGCCAGCCACCCACCGCTCAGCCGCCGCCCAGGCCGGGTGCAAAGCGGCTCTTGGCGGCGCCGGCAGCCGCAGCCAGCCGCCGCAGCTGCTGCTGCTGCTGCTGCTGCGCCTCCAGCGCCGGAAGGCCCAGGGCGTGCATGCCTGCTGCCTGCTGCTGCTGCTGCGGGCCGCCGCCGGCCAGCGCGCCTTGCCAGGAGGCAGGGCCCAGCCCTGACAGATCCAGGGCATCCGCCTGCTGCTGCTGCTGCTGCTGCTGCTGTTGCAGCCCTTGCTGCCACGCCGCCGCCTGCAGCTGCTGCTGCTGCTGCAGCGAGGCTGCGCCGGCTGGGGTGACGGGCGCAGAGTGCACGCCGCCAGCCAGGGACGGCCCCGCCAGCAGCGCTGCGCTCATGTGGTGGTGCAGAGCCGCCGGCAGCGACAGCGGGGCGCCCCCAAGGGCGGCGAATGGCGGCAGCAACGGGTGGCCGGGGCCCAGCACGCCCGCCGCCGCCGCCGCCGCCATCGGCGACCCCGGCGCCGAGCTGGCCATCGCTGGAGCGGGCCACTGCTGCTGCTGCTGCTGCTGCTGCTGGGGCCAGCCCGCGCCCAGCTGCTGCGGCGACAGGCTGGGCTGGCCTCCCAGGGGCGCCAGGAAGAGGGCTGGCGCCGAGGCGGCCCTCTCGGCAAGGTGGTAGGCCGCCGCGGCGCCGCCGCCGCCCGCCAGCGCCGCCAGCGAGTCCTGCTGCTGCTGCACCTGCTGCAGCTGGCGCAGCAGCTGGCGCTGCTGCTGCACCTGGCGCAGCTGCTGCTCCAGGCTGGGACCGCCCCCGCCGCCACCGCCGCTCCCAAACGCCGCAAAGCCGGCGTTCGCCGCTCGGGCGGTGGGTGTGGCCATAGGGGACAGAGGTGCGGCTGGGGAGCCGCCGGTGGATCGGACGGGGAGGCCGCCAAAGGGCGAGCCGCCGCTGCCGCCAGCCATGGGCGCAAAGGTGGGTGTGGTGCAGAACGGGTCTGAGCCCATGCCGCCGTACACGCCGCCGCCGCTTCCGCTTCCGGCGCCGGCCCCCGGCCCCGCCACGCGCGCGGGCAGCCTCCCGGCGGCCGCCTCCTCGTCGCCGCCGTCGGCCAGTGGGTTGCTCACCATGCAGCGCAGGCCCAGGAGCATCTCGCGGGCCTGGTGCGCTGCCGCAATGATGGAGGCCCGCGCCCGGTACAGGCTGCTGCTGCGCCGCCGCTGGCGCTCGGGGTCGGGAGCCACCGAACCCACCCTCAGCTTCTTCCACCCAGCCGCCTGCCCCTGCTTGGCCACCCGCACGACGCCATCCACGGGCTGCCCCCCCGCCTCCCCATCCTGAGACGACGACGGCGAGGGCCGGCCGCCACCACGCTGCTTCCTGCCGCCGGCGGGCGGCTGCTGCGCGGGCGCGGGCGCGGCTGCGGCGGGCTGCGGCGCCGCCGCCGAGGGGCGGCAGCACAGGAAGGATAGGATACGCAGCACCAGGCCCAGGTGTCCCGTCTTCCAAATCATGAAGAGCGCACCCAGGCCGGCCACCGGTGCCACGATGGCAGAGAGGCCCTGCGCGGAGCGGCAGATGGCAGGGGGCGGCGGTCGCACGGTGACGTGCCTGGCGTGGCACGGCAGGGGCTGCGCGGAGCGAGGGGCTGGCTGCTTGGTGGCGGCGGCAATGCTGTGCCCGGCAACGCGGCTGGCCACCGGCGCTGCCCAGCGGCAGAAGAAGGAGGGAGACGCAGCAGGGGGAGCGAGGCGCCGGCGCCCTGGCGCCGCACCTTTGCCAGGCGTCCGTAGCAGCCCTTGTTGATTGCGCACTTGAAGTCGGTGAGGCGGGGGCACACCTGCTGGCACCAGTCGGGGGTGTCCTCATTGGGTCCCGTGACCTGCAGCAGGACCAGGGTGCAGGGCCCTCAGCATAGCGTAGTGGCAGCTAGCCTGACGCCGAGCGGGGCAGGGCAGCGCCAGCCTGGCGCTGGGGGGAGGGCAGCCGCTGCAGGACGCGCCACCTGGCGCTGCTGCCTATACCATGCCAGGCTGTACCATGGCGGTACCATATGTACCGCCCGCACCTGGTCCCCGATGTCCGACTGTTCTGGCGGCTGGGTGTAGTCTGTGGCGTCGGTGTAGAAGCTGATGCCCATGGTGGCGACTGTGTCGCCCAGGGAATCCACCACAGACACTGCCAGAGGGCAGGAGAGGGAGGGGTACAGGTAAAGGCCAAGGTGGTGACAGAGTGCAGGGTAGGGAGCAACCACGGTGCGTGCAGCGGCGAGCGAAAGCTGCACCTCGGGACATGCAGCCCTTGGCTGGGCGGCGGCCAGCAGTGGCAAGCGGACAAGGCAGCCTGCCGCTCCAGGCAGGCTGGCGGCGCCGCCGTGTGGCGGCCTCACCCATGCAGCTGCTCTCTGAGGCGGCGTCGCTCTCCATCTGTAGCTCAAACTGGAACACAGTGGAGGACTGGGGGGCGATGCCCGCCCGCTGCGCCTGCAGATGGCAGGAAGGGGCAGGCGGCGGCGAGCATGGGGGGCCAGAACAGGCAGCAGCGGGCATGGGTGGTTGCAGGCAGCGTCGGCGGTAGTTGTCGGCGGCAGGGCTGGGAGCGGGGCTGGCCGCCACCCACCAGCACATTCCGCACTCCGGTGGTGCAGTTCGTGACCTGCACTGTATAGTCAGACGCCACATAGCCGCTGTTCCTCACAGTGACTACACAAGCGCAAGGGTTGTGCGCAAGGGTTGTGGAAATGGCGGGGTTGGGAGGGGTGGGTGCGGGTCACGAAGGGAGCCAGGGCACAACAAACCAACGGCGACCACAGCGCGGCCCAGCGTGGCTCACCTCGCAGGTAGCCCCGTGCCGTCATCGCCTCAAAGCCGCCGCATATGATGCCGTCGTATGTGCAGACCTGCGAGCGTGGTGGAGGGGTGTGTGCGCTTGTGGTGATAAGGGGTGATGGGGCTGCCGGGTGGGCACGCACAGGGAGATGCGTGGCTGCGGCCCAATTCCTCAAGCAAGGCATGGCCACCTGCCGGCAGGGAGCCGTACAAACACAAGCACACCACTACCGCCACCACCACCGCCACGGCCACCACCACCACACACAACTGCACTTTTTTGCTTAGCCCACCTGCACGCTGGTGATCTGCGCGGGGGAGCGGTTGACCACAAACGCCACGTCGTCCGCCGCCACCATCAGCGTCAGCAGGCTGACCTTGATGGCGGAGATGGGGAGGTTGAGGGCCAGCTTGAAGGAGCCGTCTTCCTGCAGCTCTCCGGTCAACTGGCGGGAGCGGGGTGGGGTGGGCGGCGGCAGGTGGGGCGCAGCTGTGTCAACAACTAGGGAAGGGATGGGTGGGGTCGGGGCAGGGCCAGGCGGCGAGGAGGCGGTTGTGGCATGGGGCAAGCAAGGGCAGCGGCAGCGGGATGGCCCCGGGCCCTGGCGCAGGGCATGCGCGCCCCACGCCGCACCTGGTCGGAGTTTAGAGTACCGCCACCGTACCGCCCAACAAAATACAACGGGTCCACCCCTGCAGGGGCAGCAGCCGCAGCGGAGGTGGGCCGGCCGGCACCGCCACTTCCACACCCCACACACTGCCTCGTCCACCACCACCCACACTGCCTCGCTCACCAGCACAGACGCAGAATCGCACGCCACGCCCCCCACCACAGGCGCGCACTCGCCACAAACCCTGTCACCACCACATTAGCTGGCAGCAGCAGCAGCACCAGCCCACGCCACACGATCATTTTGTGGTTCTGACTGGCGCCCACCCGTGTTGATCCTGTTGAGGTCTGCGGCATACAGGTCCACGATCTGGTTGCGCAGGCAGCTGCCCTGCGGCGTGGTGCACTTGTTGGGCTGGCTGTTGCGGAAGCCGCTGCGGGGGCGGGGGCGGCGTGGCGGGGTGGGATGTCAAGGTGGCTGGCGGAAAGTTGGTGATGCACGCGCACTGGATGGCACCCACTCGACCCAGACGCGCGTGCACCACACACCACACGCCCACACCCACCCACACACACACACAAACACACAAGAGCAGCTCCCCCGGCCAGCCAGCGCCGCAGGCAGCCACCTGTAGCTCACGCCGATCTTGTCGCACTCCAGGCCGGTGGTGGTGACCAGGTTGCCGTCCACCACCATCCATTCATTGAAGTGGCGGGTGTACCACTCCTGGGGCCCCTCCCCTGCAGCGGCGGGTGGGTGGGAGGTGGCCAGGTGGGGCGGCAGCGGCGAGGAGAGGTGGCCGAGGTGGCGGTGGCGGCATCGAGGTGGCGGTGGCGGCATCGGCATCAGCGGCCCCTCTTCTCCCATCCTTTTCATTGCTGGGCCTGACCTTCCGCTGGCTGCATGCATCCCAGCCTGTCGACGCCGCCGCTGCGGCAGCAGGCGCAGCAGGCGCAGCAGGAGCGGCGGACGCCGCGCACCCGGCTTGGTGGGGATGAGCAGCCACTTGCCGTCCAACTGGGGCGCCTGCTGGTACGACTCCAGGTCTCCCAGCAGCTTGGCCGACAGGCGGCGGGAGGAGTCGCGCCGGAAGGGGGCGCTGGGGGTGAGCGTCACCAGCTCCGAGGCGGCGGCGGTGGCGTTGGTGGTGGCATTGGTGGTGACGGTGGTGATGTTGAGGTTGATGGTGAAGTCAAGAGAATACTCGCCAATCACGTAGCCCTGGAGGGAGGCAAGGGGCGGGCGTGGGCGGGCACGGGATGGGGCAAAAGGTCGTGGCAGCGTGGCATGGCGCGGCATGACATGACATGACAGGGCAGCGCAGGGCGGGGCAGGGCGCGCAGGGAGGGGCAGCGCCTCAGTTTACAGCACTGGGTCCCGGCAGCGGGAGCTGGGCGGGCATCCCATCCTTTATTGCCAGCCGCTCCAGCCCACCGACACGCCCCACTCCGCCCCGCCCCGCCCCACCCCCGGCCCGCGCATCCGCTCCCAGCGCTCACAGCGTGCCACCACGTGTTGTCGAAGCGCAGGCAGTGGGCCGAGTCCTGCGTCTGGATGAAGCCGCCGCAGTCGAGGTTGCCGCGCGACAGCTGCCCGTCGTCGCCGCCAAAGTTGATGAGGCTGCCGCAGTCGCAGCAGAAGCCTTGGGAGTCGCTGCGGGGCGGGGGCGGCAGGGCAGCCGGGCGGGCCAGTGGGCAGGAGAAGGGTGCAGGCAGCTGGCACAGGGCAGCGGCTTTTTTATGTTTTTGTTTTTTGCTGCCAACTCGCTGGGCCCAGCAGAACTGCCCTGCTTGGGCACGCATCTCCACCCCTGCCTCGACAACAGGCACAGCCGGCGGCGGCGGCCGCTCACGCCACGTCCTGGCCGCCGTCCTGGGCAAAGCCGCAGGTGGCGCCCGCATCGTTCCAGCCGTCGCGGCAAGTGCTGCCCACGATGATGTCCTGCAGCAGTACACATGGGCGGTACAACACAGCAAGTGTGGAGCACACACACAGGGGCAGCAGGGCGGCTCAGGAGGCTGGCAGGCGCATCCGTGGCGCTCGGCGGCGGCTGGAGAGCGGCAGGCGTGGTCCCGGGGATCAGTTGACAGTTGTCCCCTGGCAGCTCCACGCTGCCTGTGCAGCAGCGGTGCCAGCGCCGTTGGGCTTGCCTCGTAGGGGCGGCCGTTGAAGTGCTGGCTGTATGTGATGGGGTAGGAGGCCTTGACGGGGGACTTGGTGGCTGCCACCAGGATGGTCTGGCGCAGGTCGCGGCACTGGCAGCTCGGGTCGGTGGCATAGTTGCAGGGGCAGGGGCACTGGTCGGTGGGGCTGCAGCCAGAGGGCGATCAGGGAGCGTGGAGGGGGAGGTGGGGGCCGGTGGGAGCGGGCAAGGAGGGGCAGGGGGCAATGGAACCGTTGGGAGGGGCGGCAACGGCGGGGGGTGCAAGCAACGGCGGGGCGGCGGAAGTGGCGGGGAAGTGGCTAGAGAATGGGTCGGCGGGCGAAGCGCCGCATTGGCACCGGTCACTGGCATAGTGGCCAATACGCGGGGTGGAGAGGCTTCATGTTGGCGGCGCAGGCGGCGCTCCCGCACCTGTTCACGCAGGACACCCCAAAGCTCAGCTGCTCCGTCTCGTAGAGCTTGTTATTCTCCAGCTCCACGGTCACCACGATCTTCTGGGAGCAGCTGAGGCTTGTTGATGGCGTCTGCGGCGCAGCGAGGGGTCCAATTTCAGGGCGCGAGGGGCACCCGGGCCGAGCGTCCTGAGCACGCCACTCACCGTGCCGTCGTTCACGCAGCTCTGCAGCTTGCCCACGGCCACCACCCCGGCATCCACCCGGGCCGCCCAGAGCGCAATGAGGGCCGCCAGCGCGGCCGCTCTGGCCCCATGTGCCTTGGACATGCGGGCGCCCTTGACCGCCGTCAGATGGACATGTGGGCTGCGTATTCTGCGGCTGGGGGGCTGATTGGGCTGGCTGTTGGTGATCGCGATTGGTTGAAGAGCTCTCAGGAGGTGTAAATGCCAGCTGGATCGGGCAGGCTTTCCAGGGTGGCGCCGCCACCGCCCGCCCTGCCGCTGCCGCTGCCGCCGCTCGTTGCGACCTTCAGTTCTTGCTGCCGCTGCCCTGTTACTATTCTGCTAGTAAACACAAGAAAACCAAGACGGACAGCCACCTCATGCATTGCCGCTGGGCATCTGACGGCTGCCCCAGCTGCCGCCTGCCGCCACCACTGCCGCCACCCGGCTCTGAATGGCGGCCTCAACCGCCGTCCCTGCTTGCACGCGGCCCCTGCTGCTCGCCTGGCTGCTGGCGGCGCTGTCCAGGGAAGATGCAGACAGGGAGCGGGGCGGTGGCCGCCCTGGCGCAGCCCTCTCGGTGCTGCCGCCGCTGCCGGCGACGTGGCCGGCGAGCGAGCTGGGCTGCACATGGCTGACGGGGCTGCGTGTGCCGGTGCCAGCGGCATTGCGCTGCACCGCGCCGGGCAGCTGCATGCTGGCTGCAAGGTACCTGCAATCAGGGGCAGGCATGTCGGTGACGGTTGAAAAGTCTGGCCTCCTGACCCCCTCTTGCCAGAGAGGCAGGGCAGGCAGCTGCTCCGCTGCTGCCTGCCACCTGATGCATTGCTCCAGCTCAAACCGCTCCCTCAGCAGCCTGTTGCACTGCTGGCGCATGCCCTCCAGCTCGCCTCGCACGCGGTGAAGGTACTGCACAGCGGTGCGTCAGGAAGCGGCAGGCGCCGTGAAATGCCACGGCGGCAGCAGGGAATAGTTGTGAAAGGGCACCACGCCACACCTGGATCTTCTGCTGCTGGTTGGCGTGGCCAGCAGTGGCCTCTGCCGCCTCTGCCAGCGCAGCCTCCATGGCCGCCACCTGCTGCCGCAGCGACGCATTCTCCTCTGACAATCGCTGGAGCTCCAGCTGTGCCAGGAATGAGCCCTGCAGCCGCTGCTCAGCCTGCTCAGCCTGCTCCTCCTGCAGCGCCGCTTCCGGCTCCCGCTGTCCGCCCTCTGGCAGGCCACCTCCCTGCCGCCGGTGCAGCTCAGGTGGCTGCTGGGGTGGCGTCGCCGGCGGCGCGGCAGGGCCGGGAGAGGCTAGCTGCTGCGCACTGTGTGTGACGGGTGCCTGGCCAGCCCCCCTTGCTACCTCCTTTTCCTGCTCGCTGACCACCGCTTGCACAGCCTGCTGCGCCAGCCAACGGGCCAGCAGGCCTCCCAGCGCGTCCTCTGCCGCCTCTGTCGCCGCCCGCTGCTCCCCGAGCTGATCCTTGAGCTGCGCCGCCGCAGCCGCAGCCGCCGCAGCCCTGGCCTGCTCTGCCGCCAGGGCAGCCCGCTGGGCCCCCACCGCACCGCGCGCAGCATCCAGCTGCACGGTCAGCCGCTTCACCTGCATGCTGCGCTCGGTGTAAGCCTGCAGCAGGCTCTGCCGGGACAGCTGCTCCTGCTGCAGCTTTGCCTCCAGGCTCTGCACCGCTGCCACCTCTGACCTGGACAGCGCAGCGGCCGACCCCGTGCCGCCACCTTCCAGCTGGGTGATGTGCGCCAGCAGGGCATCGATCCGCCCAGCCTGCTCCTTAACCCGCCGCCGCAGTGCCGCCACCTCGCTGCTGCTGCCGCCGATGCTGCTGCTGCGCTCAGGCGGGCTGCCCAGAGGTAGGCTGCCGCTGCTGGCATCCCCAGGCATGTAGCCCTGGCTCAATGAAACAGCAAGCTGACCCGTGGTCTGCGGCTGCGTGTGCTGAGTTGGCGGCTGCGTGTGCTGCTGGCTGGGCGGCAGCAGCGCTGGTGGCACGCGCGCCCACTCTGCTGTCTGTGCCTCGCTTTGCTTCTGCTGCGCAGTGGAAGCAGCATTGACCTCCTCCCTCAGCAAATCGTACCGAGACCGCCACTCCTGCACCTCCGTCTGCAGCCGCTCCACTCTAGACTGCTGCTCTGCCGCGGCCTCTTGCGTTGCAGCCGCTGCTGCTGCCAGCTGGGCAGCCAGCCGCCCCTGCGCCTCTTGCGCCGCCACCGCTGCCGCCTCCCGCAGATGCGCGGCTTCGGCGGCGGCAGCCTCGCGGTGCCTCTCCAACTCCAGAGCACGGGCTGCCAGCTGCTCCCGAGCCTCCGCCAGCTGCCGCCGCCCCAGCCGTGCCTCCTCCTCTCCCGTCGCCAGCTGGCTCCCCAGACGCTCTGCCTCCTGCCGTGCTGCCGCGAGCTGGCCTTCCTTCTCCGCCAGCAGAGCCTGGGACTCTCCCTGTGCTGCAGCTGCCGCTTTGGCCTCCCTGGAAGCTGCCTCTGCCGCCGCTGCCGCGGCTGCTGCTGCCGCCAGGCTCGCTTCCTCCCCCAGCCTCCGCGCCGCCTCCAGCTCCTGCCCCTGCCGCCTCCACTCTTCCTCCAGCTCGTGGCAGCGTCGCTGGCACTCCCGGTGCAGGCCCTGCTGCTGCTGCCGGGATGACTCCAGCTCCTCGCTCTGCTGCACGAGCGCCGCCTGGGCGCGCCTGGCTTTGCCTGCCGCCTCATCCATCTGCTTCATCAGCTCCTGCTGCCGCTGCCGGAACTCGCCTGCCTGCTGCTCAGCTTGCGAGCGAGCCGCCTCGAGCCCCCGGCGCACCGCTGCCTCCCGCTGCTCGGCCGCTGCCAGAGCCGCCCTCAGCCCCTCGGATTGCTGCTGCTGGTACTCCCGGGCCGGCGATGCCGGCTGATTACGCGCACTGGCCTGGCAGCTGTTGCTGCTGTTACCGTTGCCGGGCGCAGCGGTGTCGGGTCGCTCCGCAGATGCATGGCTGGAAGCGGCGGGCACTGGTGGTGCGGCGCCGGCATGTGATGCGGCAGCGGCAGCGCTGAAGTCGGTTAGCCCGAGCAGCACCTCCTCCAGATCTATGGCCCGCCGCCGCTCCTGCTGCCTGTCCTGCTCAGCTTCCTGCACCCGTACCTGCTGCTGCTCCAGCTGCTGCTGCAGCGCCCGCAGCTGCGCCTGCTGCTGTTGCGACGCCACCGCTGCCGCGGCGCTGGCGGCGGCCATCCTCCTGCGCAGGGCCTGGGCCGCCGCCTCCTGCGCCTGCTGCTGCTCCACCTGTCGACCCAGCTGCCGCTGTAGCGCGGCCCGCTCGTCTGCCAGGCTGGCAGTCGCCGCGGCCGCCGCCTCGGCGGCAGCCTGCTGCTCGCTCAGCTGGTGCTGCAGGCTGGCAGCCTGGGCCCTGGCAACTTCCAGCTCAGCTGCCCAGCTTGGGTGTGGGGCAGTGGGCCCGCTGCCGGGCCGCCCAGCCTGCTGCATATGCCATGCCCGCCCGGCTGCCGCCGCCTCGGCCTGCCGCTGCTGCTCCTGCAGGTGGCCGCGCAGCTCGTCGGCGTGCTGGCGCCACTGCTGCGCCTCCGCCCGTAGCGACTCCTGCTGCCTGGCCGACTGCAGGGCAGGCGGGCAGCGGTGGTGGTGGCGGGCGGGGAGCATCATCGTGCGGGGCAATGGTGCAGGCTGCTCTCCCGCATCTGCCAAGGCAGCAATCAAGGTACCAGCCGGTGCGAATTTACACACAGCCTTAAGCTCCCTCAGAGCAGGCGTCGCCGCACCTCCTCCAAAGCATACTCAGCGTGGCGCCAGCGCTCCTCCAGCTGGCGCAGCTTCCTGCCGGCTTCATGCTCCTCGCCCTCCCCCCGCCCGCCAGCAGCGCTCGCCGCCGCCGCCGCCTGCGCCGCCGCCAGCTGCTGCTGGGCCTGGCGCAGCGCGGCGGCGGCGGCCTCTGCCGCGCGCTGCGCTGCTGCTGCCTGCTGCCGCAGCCGCTGCGCCTCGCGCTGGGAGGCCACCAGATCCTCGCTGAGCTGCTCGTTCAGGCGCTGTGAGTGGGAGTCGTAGCAGTGGAGGTGGTCCTGCGTAGGAGAAGGCGGGGAGGAGGGGGAAGTGAGGTAGCCGTCAGCGGGCGGGGTGTTTTGCAAAGGCGGGCGCCGGCGCTTGGCGGCGGGCCAGGCTGCCAGGGGGCGCTGCTGCTGCCCTGCGCCCTCCTCCACGGCCTCTGTGCTGTGCGGCACCAACCTCGGAGTCTGAGTAGAGCCGCTGGGGCTGCTCCCTGCTGGGGTGTCTGCTCGGAGCTCTGGACAGCATGGTGGTTGCTGTGCCCAAGGGCTGCCACAGCAACGCGTGTTGTGAAGGTTAGCTGCAGTGGAATACAATGCCTGAGAAATATTCGCAGTGGAAAGTGGGAAGGCCTGCTGGTCGGTTTGAACATCGATGCCTGTCAGAGAAGCTGCTGACGGCTTCTGAAGCCTGCGTCGAGTGCCACCTTGACGGCAGCTGGTCTGGTTGCCGAGGCGGCACGACTGAAGAGGCAATAGCCCATCAGACATCCCTACAGCCTGCTACATTCTCCCCCCAAACTATCCTGCAGAGTCCTCTGATTGGCATCACGATTGAATGAATGATCAAAGAAGGCACCAGAGAGGTGCCTGGCGCGCCATGGCGGCGGGTTGGCGGGTGGGTGGAAAGGCGGCAGGCCAAGTGTTGCATTTACTCGGCTGGCCCGCCATCGCGGCATTTCCGAAATCAGCCCAGCATGCGGATAACGGTGACTGTGGATGTGGCGCCCGAGGAGGTGCCGATGGCGACTGAGCTGCTGGCGGTGCTCAGGTAGCGTGCCGGGTGCCGTGGGACGCGATGATCGCACATCGGCATGGCCTGCCGATCGCCATCAAGCCCGCATGTCACCTGCAGATGCCGCCTCTGATCATGCGCGCTCCGTTTCCTGGCCCTCTGCGTGCAGGCAGCTCACCGACCATGTCAGCGTGAACATGGCCAACGGCGGCGTGACACCGGCATCGCAGCAGGGGCCCGCACCCGCCGCGCCACCGCCGCTGCCCACAGCACCTGGCTCCGCCCGCGTGTCGCCCGAGCCGGGCCAGCAGCAAGCCGCCAGCCGCGGGCCCAGCCCCATCAACTCAGCAGCAGCGCCGCCAGGGCCGCTGACGCCAGCGAGCTCCACACAAAGCGCCACCAGCACCGCGGCAGCGGCTGCGCCGCCGCCGCCAGCGCCCGCCATCCAGTTCCCGCCAGGGACGCCGCCCCAGCAGCAGATGCACGCGCTGATTGCGCAGAGCGAGTACACAGAACACCCCGAGGCGGTAAGGGGCCTGCAGGCATGCTGGCGCTGCCCCCGCTCGCGCACACAGCCGGCATGTGCAGTCGGCCCGCTGCTGCGCTGCCCTTCCCTCCCAAGGCTTCGCCTCGCTCGCTGCCCTGCGGCCTGCCCTGCAGCTGGCGCGGCAGCTTGAGGCGCTCCTGTCAGACCCCTCGCTGGGCGGCCCTGCGGCGATGTTCCCGGAATTCTGCACCGTGAGTCAGACCGGCCTCACTGCTGCCTGCATTCCTCTCGGAAGCTGCATGGTTGGGATTAAGTATCACACAAAGCAGCTGCTTGCGGAGCAGGCACTCAATTCCCTGCTTTCCTCCCTGCTTGTCCTTTCCTCCTCACCAGATCTGGACATCCGTCGCCCTCAATCCCAACCTGCCCGCCGAGGAGCGCTCTGCGGTGGGCCTGCTGCTGCCGCCAGCCGCTGGTACTGCCGCTGGTACTGCTGCACCGTGTTGTCTACCGCTGCCCTTGCGTACCGCTGCCGCCAGCAGCTGCTGCCGCTGCCGCTGCTCGCCGGCGTGGCGCACGGCTCCTCCCCCGCCAGCCCTCACCCCTGCTGCGCCGCTGCCGCTGGCTGCCGGCCTGCAGGTGCCGTTTGTGATGCTGCTGCAGAGCATGGGGCCCGGCTTCAGGGAGAAGTTCCGGGACTACATCATGCGCCTGGTGCGCTGCGCTGCGCGGTGCTGCGCTGCACTGGTGGCGCCATGCCTGTGGCGCGGCATTCCGCAGCCGTACCGCCTGATCGTGCTGCCGCGCTGCGCCCATGCCACGCCCGCGCATGCTCCTAGGCACCCCACTTCCGCCCCCGCCTGCCACCTGCCTGCCCGCAGCTGCTCACGCACCTCACAAAGCCGCGCCCCGTCAACGCCAACCGCGGCGAGTATTACGTGCACGCCGAGGCCTTTGCTGCGCTTGTGTCCATAGAGATTGTGCCCATAGACGTGAGGCCCAGCTGGCTGGCTGGCCTGCTTGCATGAGGGCCCTAGTTCTGAGGGACTGTGTGTGGGCGGTGCCGCGCTGAGCGCGGCACACGTCTTGTGTAGGGCGCTTTGTTCGCTACTGCCTGCGAGCCGGCTCTCCACTTGCTGCTTCCTTTCTGCCTGCCTGCCTCGTCTGCACTTACCTGGCAGCCCGGCTGCCCGCGCCGCAACCCATAACCCGTGTGCTTGCAGGGCGCCATCCAGACCATGTGCACTCTGGCCCGCAACCCGGAGAAGCGCGGCGCGGCTGTGACAATGCTGGGAAAGACTGTGGAGCTTGCGGGGCATGTGGTGCGCCCCTGCTGCGCGTGCTGCCTGCTGCCTGCTGCCTGCTGCCTGCTGCCTGCTGGCCTGCCACCCCGGTGATCGATCCCCACCTGCATTACCACCCCAACTGCACCCCCAGCCGCCGCCCCACCGCTTGCTGTGCCTGCAGATAGCGGAGAAGGTGCCGGCGGCCACGCAGGAGGCGATGCGGGCCACTGTGGCTAACATCACGAGTGTGTGCTGCCGTGGGCCGGCCGTGGGCTGCCTGCAGCTCAGCTGCGTGCTTGCCTCATGGACAGATGGACACCTTCCTTTTCGCCGGCGCTGTGCTTTCTTTCCAACCCTGCGCTTTCTTCCTCCCTTGGTTCTTTCTTTCTTCCTGCAGATGCGGAGTTCAGGTACGATGTGGAGTACATCAACAGTACAATGGGCTGGACCCAGGGGGCAGCTGCCCCCGCAGCCGTGGCGGCAGCCGGCCCTGCAGCCGCACCCAGCGCCGCCCCAGCGGGACCGGTGAGCCCTCAGCGCGGCTGCCGCGAGAGCTCCGCCAGATGCCTCGCCTGCCCCTTCTTTGCTGCCGCCCCACGCATGCTGCACGCCCGCCTTACCTCCCAACCCCTCGCCGTGCCTGGGCGTGCCCTGTGCTGACCTGGCCGTGTGCAGCGCTCCCTACGCCCAGTCCGCTCCATCCCAGGCGCACACAATGAGATGATCTTTGCCATGGCTGTGGACTCAGCCCACCAGCAGTTTGTGACGGGTGGGTGAGCAGGGATGGGGGCAGGAAGTGTCGCGCCCGACGCATGCCGCCACCGCCGTGCATGCCTGCGGGCCTGGGTGGCAGAGGTTGCACGCACCCACTCCAGCCAACGCTTACAGTTCCGCCAACCGCCCGATCCATTCTGCCTGCTGGCTGGCCGGCTGCGCCTGGCAGCACACCTGCGCCTGGCAGCACGCCAGCCACCTGGATCCATGCTGCCTGCTGGCTGCGCACACCGGCTGTCTGGATCCATGCCTGCCGGCTGCCCTCCCCGCAGGCGGCAAGGACATGTACCTGCAGGTGTGGACCCAGGACGGCAGCCCGGTGCAGAAGCTGGAGCTGGGGGACCAGTGAGCCCACGCTGCGCTGCGCTGTTCCACGCTGTGCTGTACTGCGCTGTGCCACGCTGCACCGCGCTGTGCTGCGCCGCCCTGCGCTGCCCTGTGCTGTGCTACACCGGTGCAAGCGCCATGCCCGCTTCCGGCCTGCCCTGCCCAATGCGGGTTGTGCTCCTGCACCCGCTGCCCTCTCCATCACATCTGCCCTCATGGTACTGACCTGATCGATCCTGGCCCCTCCTGTACCGCTGCAGGTACATCTCCTCCATGGACTTCCACCCCCGCCTCAACATGCTGCTCTGCAGCTGCCTCAACCAGGCCACCCAGTCGCTGCGCCTGGGGGGTGCGCGCGCGGGCGGGAGAGCGCACGCTGCGCATGCTGTGCTCATGCTGTGCACGATGTGCTCACGCTGTGTGTGATGTGCTTATGCTGTGCGCCCCCGGCCTGGCTGCAGGCTTCACCAGCGGGCAGCCCAACGGGTTTGCCGCCAAGGGCTTTGTGGCCAAGGATGACATGATGGCGGTGGCCACAGTGCGGGTGAGCCACAGCTGGGCTGTGCCTGTCATGTCCGCCGCCTCTCTGTGCAGGGCTGCGGTGGTGTCGGTGTGTGGCACGTGGGGCTGTGCCCACCGTCCTACCGACTGCCCGGGTGCCTGCCCTCTGCCCGCAGGCGCTGCCCGAGAGCACCGGCTTCCTGACGGGAGAGACGGTGTTTTTGGACAGGGCGCAGGCGCCTCTGATCCGATACTGGGATGTGGCGGGTGAGGGTCTAGGGTTTTAGGGTTGTTGCGGCGGGGTCGGTGGGGTGGCGGTGCAGCGACGGGACGGATGTGCCCAGGGAGCATGCATGCAGTTGCTGCGCTGCGGCTCCCGCGGCGCGGCTCCCACGCCTGCCCCGTCCAGTCCACACACCCACGTATCGCTACACAACCCTATTTGCACACACTTCACCCGCACGCACGCTCACATGTGCCACCGCCCGCCCCCAACTCCCCGCCTGCAGCCGCCGCCAGCTTCCAGAGCCTGCAGCCCACGCAGACATTCAAGGGGCACGCCCAGATAGCCACGGCGCTGCGGGGGGTGGCGGGGGATGCCAACATGTTTGTGTCTGGTGAGCAGCGCGCCTGGGCCCTTCCCTTCCTCTGGAGTCACCTACCCACGCACCCATCCAGACCTCGCCCTACCCAACTATCACCTCGCCTCCCACCCCACGCTGCCGTTTACCTCCCTTCCCGCAGGCGACAAGGGCGGCGCCATGCTGCTGTGGGATCTGCGGTCGCCCACCCACGTGGGAACCTTTGGCGCCCCTGACCCCGCCGGACACTCCATGTGCGTGGCGGCCTGGACGGCCGCCGCGCGGCAGCCTCGCATCCCGCCTGTGCCGGCCCCGTCCCTGCAGCCGCGCCTGCTGTGCCCACGCCCCCTCACCACACCCCGCCGCCTGCACCTGCTGCCTGCGGCCGCCCGCGCGCCACTTCGCTGCCTGAGCCCGCTGCCTGAACCCGCTGGCTGCACCTGCCCACCTGCAGGGCGCACAACCTGATGGTGACATCCATAGAGAGCGCCGGCCCGCTCGTCATCAGCGGCAGCACCGACAAGAGCGTGGCGCTGTGGGACATCAGGTGGGCCGCGGCGCTTGCTGATGAGGCGGGGCAGGGCTGCGAGGGGCCCCGGACAGGGTGGGGCAGTCGGCGCACGGCCGGCCGGCAGACGGTAGGCCCGCTGCTGAAGGTCGTCTCGCCCACGAGCTCTGACCCGTGGTTTCTTGGCCTGCAGGACGTTGGGCCAGCCGCCGCTGGCCAAAGTGGGGGCTGACAACATGACTGTGCTCAAGGTAGGGCCCTACCTGCTGCCTGACGACTGCTGCTGTTTTGGGAAAGCCTTGCTTGGCTTAGCTGCTTTTTCTTGCCAGCACCCCAGCTGCCTCCTGCCACCCAAGCACCAAATCACACACACACGCACCACCTCCCACTCATGCTGCCCGCCCTGCAGCTGGCGCTGAATGCCGGGCGCAAGACGGTGGTGGTGTCGGCAGTGCACACGCTGCGCCTGCTGGACATCACTAACCCCACGGCGCCAGGTCAGCGCACAGAGCTTCGCCACGTGGACCTGCATTACGCTGGGGGTTCCGCTTCCCTTTCTTGTTTCCTCGCCTGTGCGAAGCCGTCGCGCTAGCCCCCACAGGGTGAGTGCTGCCACTCTCTCGACCGACCCTCCTGCCTCCCCGCCTGCCTCCCCTTGCAGTGCTGTCTGAACCCGTGGTGGCGTCCTGGCCCGACGGCCGCCCGCGCAACACATACCACGACGTCAAGTGGAATGAGGCGCTGGGATCCCCCTGTATGCGGTTGGAAAGGACAAGGTGGTCGACCTGTATGCGCTGGCGTGACCACAACCATGACATGCACGCTGTGGTCTGGCGTCAGTCCCGCCGACTGCCCGTACGGCTGCTGCCACTCGCCTGCCCTTGACCCTTGCCCCCAACCCCTTGGTTCTCGATGTTCTTCACTCGATGTTCTTCACTCGATGTTCTTCACTGCTGGGACGATGTGTAAGCTGGTTTGGACATTGAGCCGCCGTAGTGCAAAAGGCCGGGAATGTTGAATGCCGCGATGCATGCTGACTGCCTCTCAGGTGCACGAGTGCTCCGGCATGGGCCCTGTCGCGGAGCACACCTGCACAGAGAAGGGGATGTCCGCCCAAAACTTGCAGCTGAACTGCTGAGCGCTTGGGCTGGTGAAGCACGATTTCTGCACATCGGGGGGGGGGGGGGGGGGGGGGGGGGC